CCCGGCTCATGCTCAGAAAACAGTTTAACACACACACAGTAGGCAGCATGAGGTGGTTTCGCCCTCCCCATAGAAACAGCAGATTGGGGGTGAGGGTGGGGGACTAGGCTATTGGTGGGACCACAAGGCAGGAATTCAGTCAGGATCAAAACAGCTTCTGGTGGGTCTCCCTGGTGGCGCAGGGGGTTAAGTCTTAGCACTGTGAAGCTATTGGCAGCCACTGCGGCACGAGTTCGATCCCCGGCCAGGGAGCTGACCCACATGGCACAGCAGACCTCTCCTGTCTCCTGCTGCTCCCCTCAGCAGTGGATTTCAGTCAGTCTGCCTGTTCTGCTCCCCACTCTGTCTCTGGTGAATCCTCTCACCCCCACACCTCTGGCCTGTACCCCAGTTCTTGTATGCATCATAATAATAATAAATTAAAAAAAAACCCAGCTTCTGGTGCTGACTGCTGAAGTTCAGCCTTCTTTTTTAACTTTTCTAGACTGTTTCTCCCTCCATAAACCTTCAGAGCATGAGGCTCTAGGCCTTGGTCTTAGAAGGCAGGTTCAAGGTCACCTAAGTTGAAGCACTGAAGGGAAACAGTTATTTTCAAGGCCTTACGGCTCCACGCTGTGTCATTCTTTTCAATACACTTGTTTCCATTCTTCCCCACGAGGAGAGAACACACATAATTGCACCAATAACCATTTGCTCAATGATTTATACATGATTTGTATGCCCTCGTGGTGCTTACGGTGGAGTGGTGAGCTAGAGATTCAGACTCAGGTCTTTCTGGCCTCAGGTCCTGAATTTTCCTAGCAGATAACCTGCTTTCCATCTGGCTTCCACACTGAGGCTATTGCCTGGGGAGCCCCTCTGGGGCTGGCCACAGACTTATGCACTCAAACTTGGAGCCTATGAAGAGGATTATACTGGGGAGAGAGGCCCCAGGAAGAGAGCCTGCTCTCCGCTGGGGCTCTCAAGCCAAATCACCAAGGTCAAGAGACAGGATGGAAGCAGAGCCTCTGTCTTCCTGGGGTGGAAGCTACGACCCACCCCACAGCAGGAGAGCAAGGGACACAGCAGAGGCCACCCAGAGCTCCTGTGTGGAGGATGCTATGGCCACGGACAAGCCTGGAATTCCCTTCCTTCTTCCACAGCAGCAGGATAAAGCCACCACCTGCGTGGAGACATATGGCGCTGGGGATGCAAAGAACTCACAGGGGCAGCAATCAGTACATGATATCATTTCCTCCTGGCACTGCCTCGGCTGGAGCAGCAGCCAGAGGCTGCCCCGGAGGTGTCCTTCAGCTCCTTCACGTATCACCCTAATCAAAAGCTCCTGAGCGTACCCAGGACGGCTCTAGTTCCTGTGATGCCCCTGTGCTGATTATTAGCATCGGAGGTCAGCAGAGCTTTCCCCGTGACCCCCTGTGGGTGTGGACAAGCCAGAGCTGTTTGCAAGGCAGAGAGGTGAAGGCTTATACAACAGAGCATCAAAAGATTTTATATAAGGAATCTGCTGTTCAGAGATGAGAAAGACAGCAGCTCCGAGAGGTAAAAGAGCCTGTCTCTCGGTCAACCAGAACCCCAGCTGGGGCTTTCTCCCCACCACCCTGGGGTTACCAGGGCTGGCTTTCTGAGGTGAAGCTGCCCTGTGGCTTCCTTCCTGGGAGGGTTTATCCGTAGAGCCATCCAGCCATCTGTCGTGCAGACACCATCGCTTCCTCTACAACCTCCCCAACCACATTTGTGATTCTGCTAATTAAGTTAAACAATTTGCACATTTCTCCATCTCCCCGTGGGTGCCAGTGTTGGTGATTTCCAAGCGGTTGAGAAGTCATGGACTTCAGGCCAGGGGAGAAAACTCCTAGAGTGACACTGATGGGTGGGGGAGCCCTCGGTCCTTGGCAGGGAAATTAAATCCAGATATTAGTTCTCCCCCACAGCCCCTCTGGGTTTCTCTGCCCGCCTCTCCACTAATTTTGACGCTGCAACTTGGGACTAGCACTGCCGGTGGAAGATCTAGTGTGATGATGCCGGCCTCTTTCTGATACGCTTCCTGGGAAGGGACAAGTCATGGATTGTGTGTGGGTCTCACGCTTTTGCTTCTGCAGCCTGCAGCCGAGTTGCCTTGTTAGCGGACCACAGCCTCTTGCCTTTCTTTGCAGAAGCCCCTCCCAGCAGGCACCAGACCCCACAGGGGCCGCCCTGACAGACCTGCCAACAGGCCTGACAAATATTTCACATTTTAATTTGCACCTTGGCTGCTGGCAAAGTGTCCTGGCTCCAGGAAGAAATGGGATTCAGATGGAAGCCGATTTCCCAGCAGTTGTGAGTTCATTCTGCAAAGGACTGAGCAGATTTGCTCAGGAAACATAGATGGATGATGCTTCTTCTCTAAGAACCGCCAGATGAACTAGAAACCTAAAGAGGCCCCGGAAGCTCTTGTCTGCAGGAGCTGCCAGCACCTTGGTGATGCAGCCACAGCTGGGGCTGCTCTTTATTCTCAAGTTGAAAGAGATGCTGGTAAGGAGTCAGCATTTCAAAATATACCCCCAAATCATGAACGGTGTTGTAAGCCAGGGTTACCTCAATTAAAAAAATACAATAAAAAAGTGAAGTTCAGACAAGAAGCCTAATATTAATTTCAGTGCCAGGAGATTTTGATAAAGCCACCAAAGTCCAGAAATTACTCCACTTTGGCTCTGCAATCTGTGCTTTCTTATCTTGGGGTTAAAAAATAAAAGACATGCCTATCTTTGTTCATTATAACACCTTAAAGATGAAACGGATTGAAAAACCACATTTACTTCTCATTTTTGCTTATTCTCCCAGCATCTATTCAAAGGCAACTTTGCTAAAGGCAACTCATTTTTCCTTTCTCGTAGTGTCCACCTCTAATCCACATAGGAAGGTAGGTGTGAGCAGCAACTGTAGATGGTAATGAGTTCTAAAGAGGCCATTTTGTTTAAAATGCTGATTTTTGGCTGCCTTTTGGAAACCAAACTTTGAGAAATCTCTCGAGGGCCCTAGTGGATTGGCAGACTCTGGGGATACTGCACTGTACTAAAGAAAAGTATCTGGGGCTAAAATCTCTCAGCGATGCAAGCTCTTGTGCAAGCTCCCACGTCCGGTCATTCATAAGCAGTTCTGGAAAACACTCTGCAAAACTGGTCTCCCCTAACCTCACTTGATCTGTGAAAAATATACTCAAAACAATTCAAGCCATTAACTGGCATGTCTTCTTTTGTTTATTTTTTCTGAAGGTCCCAAATGTTCAGCTAAGCCACGACCATTTTCAACTCAAACTGAAAGAACCACCATCACATCAGAGGAGCGTTTCAGAGTCTTTGATGGAGAAGTTCCCAGAAAGGCTGGGGCTGGGGCTCGAAGGCCAGGAGCTGCCTATGTTTGCTGCCAAGCCACCTGGGCAGTGGAGCTGTGGAATGAATGCATGTAAGTGGTTTGAGAGACTAGAAAGGGCGGACTGAAGGAGTCCACGCAAATACAGAGTGTTCGTCATAGTTTTATAATGACTCAGCTTAGCCATATCTGACCCTTGGTTTCCTATTTACCAGAAACTCAGGAGATGACTGGGCACGGCCTCGACTACTTGGATTATATTAACCATGCCTTTCCTTTTCCATATTCTGATGTTTTGACATCTTGGGGTATTAGCGACTCTGGAAGGACTGCACCTCCAGGGTTAGCTAATTCTTGGGGAAATCAAATACCCCATCTGGGAACATATCCTTCATATGCAGATCACCCGCATCCCTCACCTGCCCCCTAGTCTTTCCTACTCCAGGCCACAATCCGCCTGCCTGAATCACCTCAGGGACAGGAACAAGACAGGTAAGGAAGATCCAGAGCCCCCTGAAGCTATTCAAACAGCCAATGCTAAGGATGCTTGCCCCTTGCGTCCTCCATACTCTCCTCTCACTCCCTCTGCCTCCGCCCTGATGACCCTAGTGTGTCCCCGTGAGCCCTGCCTGGCATATGTGCCCCTTCCTCTTGGGATCTGTGTCTAACACCTGTGATTTTATGGCAGTTGTTTCCCCATCTGTTGACCTCTAACATCTGGCTTTTAAAACACAGATGTTAGAATGGGATGTGCTGACTCTGGGTACCTCATGTCCTCACCCTGACCAGCGCTATCTTCCTCTAACAGAAAACACAGGAGGTGGGATGGTGCCAGGAGCCTGCAGGTTGTCTCCATCATCGTCCCACCTCTGGAGTGTTTTGAGTCAAAAATTACCACTGGGCCTCCCCTGGTGGCGCAGCGGTTGAGCGCTGGGCTGAGAAGCTGCCCGCAGCCTCCACAGCGCTGGTTCGATCCCCGTCCGCCAGCGAGGGTCCCACATGGCACGCAGACCTCACCTGCCGCCCGCTGCTCCCCTCAGCAGTGTACTTCGTCAGCCTGCCTGTTCTGTTCCCCGCTCTGGTGAATTCTCTCACCCTCCTGCGCTTCTGACTGTACCCAGTGCTTGCATAAATAAATAAATAAATAAATAAATCTTTAAAAAAATTATCACTGAGTTATGTTTCGTGCTGTGGTCCAGGGTGATGCCTGACGAGCCCTATCCTAGATGCACAGAAATGAATGCCTTGGGCCCTAGGGCATAATTCTCTCATAGAACATGCCTGGGAAGTCTTTAGTCTAAAATCTAGGTATATAAACCTGAGGAGCAGCACAGGTTGGGGGGTTCAACTGGACAGTGGTGAATGGTTCTAGAGCTTTGGTGGTGGTGAGGTGTGGTACATACTTTCAGAGAGGTGGGAAGCTGCACTCCTGACGCTTATATAGTATTGTGAGCTGATGGTAGGTACATCCATACATTGTCTTAAAATATTAAATGAACCTGCGGTTAAGAAAAAGTCTAGGCATAACTGAAAATCCTTAAACCTTCCCACAGCAGGGACAAGCCTGCCTCCCTGAAGAAATTCATCTTCCTGGGGAGGTGAGTGCAGTAAGGTGGGCATCCCCCTACCTGTGCGACCTGTGCGAACGTTACCTGTGCTCGGTGCTCCCCCACCGCGAACTGTATCACGGCCACCCCCGGGCTGTGGCTGTCCTCTATCCTCTCCACCGTGCTGGAGTCGATCTTCAGGTCGTTGCTGATCTCTGCACTCTGGATGAAGTCTTCTGTCTTTAAGTCCTCCACCTTCTTCAGTTCCCCGTTGGCCAACTGGATGATGGAGCCTTTCATGAAGTAGGGAGGCAGCGTGGGGGGAGCTGCCGCGGGGGACGCCACGGACTGCACCACGGGCAGGTGGATCTGGGCCTGCACCATGGCCGGGTAGGCAGCCTGGGTGGCCAGGGCCTCCGGGCTGAAGTTCTCGCTCTTGGGGAGGGCGGTGGTGACGAAGGTGTGAGGCACTGCAGCAAACTGGGGCGAGGATGTGACGATGGCCGAGGCCGCCCCCGAGGCCTCCATGTCCGCGCCGCCCACCGGGATGAGCAGGGGCTGGGTGCCAGGGATCACCAGGTGCTGGGGCAGGCCGCCGGCGTAGGTGATCGCTTGCTGCTGGCCGCTCAGGTAGCCGATGACCGGCGGCTGGGTGCCGGCGTAGAAGGCCGTGGCGGGCAGGCCCACCGGGAGTGGCTCCGAAGCGCTGTGCGTGGTCTGAATGACCGTGTGCGGGGACAGCGTGGCCACGGCGGCCTTGACACCCTCGGGACCCAGGGCCTGCTGGGGTGACAGCGCGTAGGAGCGGTGTCCGGGCTTTCCTAGATGCAGGCCGCTTTTGTCGTTGAGGGCGGAGGGGGAGGCCTCCCGGTGCGACACCTGCTGGACCTCCAGGTCGGCCGCGGGCGCGCTGCTGTTGGGCAGGACCATCACCGAGGCCCGCACGCCCGAGGAGTCTCGGCCCCCGTAGTCGGCGGGGCTGGGGTGCACCACCACGTGCCTGGACTCGTAGGGGTGAGGCACTGACTTGCCGCCGGCCTTCACCAGGCCCAGCTCGGCCGGGGTCGGGGCCCCGTACCTGCGTCCCTTGTCCATCTCCCCGTTGAGCATCTCCTTGGCCTGCATGGCCTGCTGCAGCCGGCTGCTCTCGGCTTTCTTGGCGGCCTCCCGAGTCACGAAGTGGCTGCCAGAGTCGGTGTATTGCACGACGACCTGGGGGGAGGGCCCCAGGGTGAGAGTGTGTGGGATCATGGCCTGGTGGGGGTGGAGGTGCACCGGGAGGGCAGGAGGAGAGGCCGCGCGCCCCGCATTCTGCGGGGAGCTGGAGATGTGCACGTACTGGTTCTGCTGGGCGGGTGGTGGTGGGGACCCGGGGGTGACCAGCCCGGGCGTCCTGCCGAGGTGCTGCTGCTGCTGCTGCTGCTGCTGCTCAGCCTTGTGTCCCGAGGCCTGGCTCAGGCTGCCCATGTTGGCCAGCAGCGTGGAATAGGCCTCCAGCTGGGAGCGCTGGGACGGAGTGGCGGCGCCCGCGGCCGAGGCCACGGCGCTGGTGACCGGGCTGGCCGTGGGGGAGATCAGCTGCGAGGGGATGAACCCGGCGTAGGGCCCGCTGTACTGCGAGGACCCGATGAACTGGAAGGTGTGCGGCAGGTGCGCGTACTGCACGGGGGACACGGGTGTCCCCGACGGCGGGGGCGGGTAGGCCGCGGGCAGCGTGGTCGCGGGGACAGACCTGGGCGCGCTGGGCGGGGAGTAGTCCAGCCCCGTGGACAGCGCCTTGTGTAAACCTATTCCCTGCTGTAAACCGAGCTCCACCGAGGTCCCCGCCGGGCCGAGCCGGCCGCCCGCGTGGCCACGGCCGCCAGGGGTGCCCGGGAGCCATGCCACACCCTCCGCCCGGTGGTTGTCGCTGGGCAGGACCGTGGCCTTCTCCTCGGAGGGCCGGCTGGTGGCGGGGATCTCGCGCTTCTTGGGAGGCAGGCATTCGTTGCTCCGCTCTTGGTTGGATTTCATTTTTCGCCGTCCCCCCTCCACGGTGACCGTTTCACTGTCTGGCGGGCTCTGATTTTAGTCTGATAAATGGAAAGTCACATTTGATTTCTGTAGGGGATCCAGGCTCTTCATGAGGAATCATCTCCCCGTGGGTGCGATCGGCCAGCAGCAGCTCTGGAATCTGGGAGCGGGAAGAGGGGAGACACAGGAGAAAGGAGGGACAGGAAATAAAAAGTCAGCCCACGACTGAGACTAGGCCTGCTTGGAAGGTAAAATCCCCAGACCCCATTCCAGCCCCAGCACCCAGGCAGGTAGCAGGCCCCACAGCACCCCAGAGAGATGGATCAGACACACAGCAAGTCAAACCTCGAGCAGATTCCTCTTTATGGCACTAATAAGTCCCCCCCAAGACATGCTTCTCAACACCCTCTTTTTCCTCCTTTCTCCTTAGAGAGGAGATCATGGATTTCCTGTTTCCTTTTCAGAAAAAAGCTGGACTCATTCTTCACCTGTTTACCATGTTGGAAAAGCAAATGACGCCCACAGGAAGGAGAGCATCCACCCTTCCCAGCCCTCGGAGCCAGGCGCCTGCCAGCAAGGGCAGGTTGGGAGTGGCCATCCCAAGTGGCCCTCCGTATGATGTCTGCATCCCCATCTGCCAGGGCCACTGCCAACACTCAAACATTTCACCTGGCCCTGGGTCCTTCCTGGAGGCACAATTCTCTCTTAATACAACACACACACATGCACACACACACACACACATGCCAACTCAGCAGAGGCAGCCAAAACCAATCCTGTTTTCTACACGTTTCCAAAGAATTCCCAGTGCAGCCATTCATATGGTAACAGAGAGTCAAAAGAAATCTGTGAGACAGTTTTAAAACGCGTATGATTACAGTTAAAAAGGAGAATGCAGTAAAAGGGCGGATGCATGGAATGCTTCCTTAATGAGGGCTATGTGCTTGCTTCATCCCTGCCCTTTTATAGCTTTCCAATTTGGATTTTCTCTTCACGCCCACTCTCCCTGGAAAGGGCCAGCCCATCTCTAACCCAAGAGATGAAACCTCTTTCAGATCAATCAGACCTGTGCATTTAAACCTGGACGTAGAAATAGTCAGTGCCCTGTCTCAGTTTCCCAGCTACCTCTGATCTCCCTATCACCACGACTATGGGGCAAATAGATACCCATCTGCAAGAGGCAGGATGTCCATGGAAGCAGGCCAACAAGTGCTGGGCATGAGTACCCCCATGGGTAGCTGCCAGAGTGCTCAGTGTCGGGGAGAGCCATCCCAGAAGCCACGGGATCGGGCTTTGGGGATTCCAGCCGAGCAGTCTAGCATGCTTCCTCCCTAGACTCTTGTCTATGATGTGATATTGAAACAAGCACAACATACCGCACTGATCCTTATCCATAATGAGGCTGCAGCAATACCCCTATAGGAATAGAGTCCTTTCCTCTCCTCTGTGCGCTGCAGCCCCGTCTCTTGCACCAGCTTACACCACATCTCTTCCCCCACCCTTACCTGTAACTTTTTTTGCCAATGACTTAGTGACCCTTGTTGATTTTGCTTCACCATTATTAACATACATGACAAATGACGCAAAGTAAAGTTCCCATCCTCAGAGATTTTAATCAGGTATAGAAAGAGGCAGAAGTAAGAAATCTGGGGTCTCAACACCAAAAGACATTTCAAAAAGAATACGATTTCCATCTGTGTCAAAGGAGTAGTGTCGATGATTTACTCTCCCGACCCAGGGCTTTTATAAGCTCCCAGTAACTTCATTCTGTCTAGCCTTTTCTCTAAGAGCAGAGCATATAATGTGCACCCAATGCTTGCAAATCGATTACAGTGTGCTAGTTTCAAAAACAATGACAGAATAAAATTAAACTACACAAGCACCAAAACCAGCTGCCTCTTTGGGCTTCTTAAAAAGTACTCATGATGATCTTTTAACTTTAGATTTCCAGAGTCACTCTTAAGAAAGAGAAGAGATTCTCACACTTCTGAGGACATCACTTAGATCTTCTCAAAGTCAGCTGTTCCACGCGCCCCCTGCTGGCCCCACGGCAGCACAGGTCCAAGAAAACCCCACAGGATTTCGTTAGGGATATTCAAGCTAGAGTGATACATCAGAATCCCAAACAGGAACATTTGCATACAGTGGGCCCAACCAGTAAGGGAATAGGTTAATTAGCCCCTGGCAGCTCTAGGGAAGGAAAAGCAGCAGCATGAAAGTTCTTTCAAAGCAAGCAAAATGTCAAACACATTCAGAAAGAGATCCATTAGCAATGCAAATAGAACATCCCCTATACAACCCAAAGCGTGATATACAAAACTAGAAAACCCCTCTGAAGGCACATTTTAAAGAACCCAGCTTTAGTGAATTTGAAAAAGAATGAGAACTGGGTTTTTAGTAAGGCCTTGTTGGTTGGTTTATACGGTTTATTTACTTGGCCTGAAAGATCTCTGTAGGTCCACAGCTGGCCTTCTGCTAGGGGAATGCTAAGGTACACTGGCTTTAGCACACAGACTCAAATATATTCTTCTGAAAAGTTTTACCTGGTGATAAACATCCTTTCCAGATAATACTAATGATTAATCAAGGACAAAAAGATTAATGGAATAACTTAGGGCCAGAATGATGAAAATTTAAATTCCTCCTTAACCCTTCCATTTAGAAGGAACATGTCTCCTATTTACAGTTTGGCTTGGAAGATATGGGCTCTCTGATGATGGGATATATGGCCGGGTGGGCCCCATTTGCTGCCTGCACTATCTTTCCTTGGGGGGAAATCCTGGGAGGGAAGGAATTGTGTTTTGCTGTATGTCACCCGACCACTAGAGGGCACCACAGTCTACTGCCACATGCCTATCCATGGAATCCATGGGATTGAAGGAATAGAGGCTTTCAGAATTTTTTTTTAATTAAATTTCTGATAGTCTCTGATTTAATTTAATTTAATTTTTACTCTCTTCAGTGTCATGTTTAAGACACTTTTTATTTATCTTTTACATTATTTTATTTTATATAATTCTTACATCATTTTTCATTTTTGCACAATGTATGCATTTTCATTTTGGTTATATTCCCCATGCAATTGCACCTCATCCCCTTATTTTGACCCTAATCCTTCCTCTCCCCTTCCCTCCCACCTGCTGTAGTGTGTCTCTGGTTTATAGTTGCTTGTTGATTTTGATTTTCACTTTGTATTAATTAGCCTTTTCCTGGTCCCTTATTCAAGTTTTCTAGATTCCTGCTATGAGTGAGACCATCCGGTATTTTTCTTTTTCTTTCTGGCTTATTTCGCTGAGCATGATCCCTTCCAGCGCCATCCATGTTGCTGCAAATTGCATGTGTTTATCCTTTTTGAATGCTCAGTAATATTCCATGGTGTATATGGACCACATCTTCTTGATCCAGTCATCTATTTTTGGGCATTTGGGTTGTTTCCAAAGCTTAGCTATTGTAAACAGTGCTGCTATAAACATAGGGGTGCAGGTGTTCTTTGGAATGGATGTTTCTGTGTCCTTTGGGTAAATACCTAGGAGTGGAATTGCTGGATCATATGGAAGCTCTATGTTTAGTAGGTCCAGAAATCTCCCCACAGCTCTCCATAGTGGTTGGACCAGTTTGCACTCCCACCAGCAGTGCAGGAGAGTTCCTTTTTCTCCACACCCTCGCCAACATTTGTTGTTGCTAGTTTTTTTTTTAATATGACAAGCACACTATTTAATCGAAAAGGGGAAGCAGGGGGAAAGCTAACAGATCAAGCTGGACAAATTTATTTAGGGTTTACTGATAGAGTGTGTGCTAATCACTGTTCTGAATACATTCACTGAAGCATCTTTGTATCTCCATTTGCAGCTATCTGTCTGCCAGTTTTTTAAATCTAGCTCAAGGCCAAGGTGGTCCACACACCTGCACCACTGGCCTCTCGACCAGCTTTGGAAGTGCAGGATCTCAGGCCTCACCCAGCATTTTACCAACATCTCCAGATGATTCAGATGCACAGTAAGATTTCAGAAACTCGGTGTAACACCAAATGTTCCCCTCATAAGCTCCTAAGCAAAGGAAGCATCTCCAGCCTTTTCCGAATGAAGTAGGTGATACATGATGGAGCCTGGGAGATAAGCAGCTCGAGGAAGATAAAACTCAGCTGTTTACATAAGGGTGGAGTGTCTGCATAGGTCCAGTTCTAAATAATAGAAGCTCCTTCTAGTTCTAGCTTCAAAAATGATAGAGAAACATTCTTAAAAAGCATTATAAATTTTACACACGACTTAGTCATCTCCAGAAATAAAAACAAGATTTGGCAAAGGAGGCCCCACTGTTATGTCTTCACTACAATTTATAAAATTTGCCCCCAACCATCGATCCAGGCTATTTTGAAAGTGACAGAAAAAGATGTCTCTATGGTGGGTGAAGTGGGGATGGAGCCCCCACTGCTGCAGGTACTGAAAATGGCAACCAGCTGCTCTGAGAATTTGATATACACCATGCTAAAAATGCATCCACAGGTCAGGGAAATCAATTGAGGTGCCCAGGTAGCACCCCTGTCCTGTGAGCCACTCAGCTGAGTGAGACCTGTGGCTATCTGGCACAAACCTGGCAAGGTTTACTTTTCCTTCAACAACATATAACATTAATTGAGCACATACTACGTGGCAGCCTTGTGCTGAATATTGAGTTGCTTTTCATTTCCATGTCCAGAGATCAAGGCTCAGAAAGATAATGCCAATCACCCAAAGTTATCTAGATAGTGGCAAACTGCCTGACTTCTCCCTATCATGGATTCCTTTTATTCTTTACCCCCTTTGAAATATTTTGTATATTCAATTTTTTTTTCATTGACGAAAAACAACCTTCTAATTGTAACATCTGGTAACCGTGAGCTAACTTCCTAGCTTCTTTATAGATTTACGTAGTTCCAGAATAATGATCTTTTTATTTTATTTCACATACGTGGGCATCATCTCAGAATACTGAATGCAGGTGCTCAAATAATCTCTCCTTTGTGCCAACTAGAAGTTCAGAAAAGAAGGAAATTTATGGGGTGGGGCAGTCAGAAGGAATGGACCCTCATCTCAGTCTCAAAGCAGCAGAAATTTCAGACAGGCCAAGGGAAGAAATGGTTTTCATTTTACAAAGGAGGAAAGACAGACTGATGAGCTAGAG